CTTCCGACGATCGTGCACGCGGCGCGCACACACCTAATGGAATGGATATGAGCAACACATCTCGAAGAACAACAGTTACAACGGTGAGTAACCGTCTTTTCCCCAAGAGAGCTTGTAATATCATATCCAGTAATGCTCTGAAGAGTTTAAAGTACAAATTTCAAGGCAAGGGATTCGTAGCCAACATCAAATAAATGTGTTGTTTACCTTCACAAAATAAATTCCTTTGGTTTACGCAGCAAATAGCAGTTATATCATTTGTTACAGATGAAACTTTTGAAGTACTCTTAATTAGGGCTGTCAATCACAGTTCACTCACACGATTAACTCAAAAATTAATCGTGATTAAAAAATTAATCCCGATTAATCACACTGCTAAACAATAGAATAGCAATTTAAATTTAATATTTTTGGATGTTTTTCTACATTTTCAAATATATCAATTTCAGTTACATCACAGAATACAAAGTGTACAGTGCTCACTTTATATTTTTATTACAAATATTTGCACTGTAAAAATGAAAAACAAAAGAAATAGTATTTTTCAATTCACCTCATACAGGTACTGTCGTGCAATCTCTTTATCATGAAAGTGTAACTTACAAATGTAGATTTTTTTTTTGTTACATAACTGCACTCAAAAACAAAACAATGCAAAACTTTAGAGCCTACAAGTCCACTCAGTCCTACTTCTTGTTCAGACAATGGCTAAGAGAAACAAGTTTGTTTACATTTACGGGAGGTAATGCTGCTCGCTTCTTGTTTACAATGTCACCTGAAAGTGAGAACAGGCATTCACATGACACTGTTATAGCTGGCGTCGCAAGATATTTACGTGCCAGATGTGCTAAAGATTCATATGCCTCTTCATGCTTTGGTCATTGTTCCAGAGGACATGCTTCCATGCTGATGACGTTTGTTTAAAAAAAATGCGTTAATTAAATTTGTGACTGAATCCTTAGGAGAGTATTGTATGTCTCCTGCTCTGTTTTACCCTCCTTCTGCCATATATTTCATATTCTAGCAGTCTTGGATGATGACCCAGCACATGTTGTTCGTTTTAAGAACACTTTCACTGCAAATTGGACAATATGCAGAGAAGATACCAATGTGAAATTTCTAAAGACAGCTACAGCACTCGACCCAAGATTTAAGAATCTGAAGTGCCTTTCAAAATTAGAGAGGGATGAGGTGTGGAGCATGCTTTCAGAAGTCTTAAAAGAGCAACACTCCGATCTGGAAACTACAGAACCCTAACCACCAAAAAAGAAAATCAACCGTCTGCAGGTGACATTTGATTCAGATTATGAAAATGAACATGTCGGTCTGCACTGCTTTGGATCGTTATTGAGCAGAATCCATCATCAGCATGGATGCATGTTCTCTGGAATGGTGGTTGAAACACCAAAGATCATAATCTTTAGCGCATCTGGCATGTAAATATCTTGTGGTGCCGGCTTCAACAGTGCCATGCGAATGCCTGTTCTCACTTTCAGGTGACATTGTAAACAAGAAGCAGGCAGCATTATCTTCTGCAAATGTAAACAAACCTGTTTGAGTGATTGGCTGAATAAGAAGTAGGGCTGATTGAACTTGTAGGCTCTAAAGTTTGACATTGTAGACAATGTAGATAACACCCCAAAATATTTAAATAAATAGTATTCTATTGTTTAACAGCACGATTAATTGCAAATAATTTTTGTAATCGGTTGATAGCCCTACTCTTAATGATTGGGGAAAGGATAATGGGAAGTCTGTATTTTTTTTGTCCTGAGAATCCCCTCTAGAGAATTTGAATTCAAAACACTGACAATATATGAATAAAATAATGTATACTGGGAGGAAGGGTGGTCATGTGGCTGAGAGACTGGTGGCAGGAGAGTTGGGTTCAGTTCCCAGCTCTGACACAGGTTTCCTTTGTGGCTGTATCCCAAGTCATGTAACTCTCATTCTTTCAGCTTCCCCATCTGTAAAATTGAGGTTGTAATACTTCCCTACCTCACAGGTTTATTGTGGTGACAAATTCATAAACACTTGAGAAACAGCATGTAGATAAAATATGGATCCTTTTGTATCACAACCAACACCATTTTTCTTTTTGATTCATGGACTTTTAAGGCCCGAAGAGACCATTTATGATCCTCTTGTCTGACCAGCATAACAGGCCACAGATTCTCACCTAATAATTTCTGCATCTAGCCCCTCACTTCTGGTTGAGCTATAGTATAGCTTCTAGAAAGATATCCAGTCTTGATTTAAAGACTTAAAGTGCTGGATTACCAATTGGTTTAGAGTGCTTCTACATTGCTTGTTCATTTAAACTGGGCTGGACACAGCACTGGGAAATATACTATAGGAACAAATCCTGCATTGGCAGATAGATGTTGGACCACATGATAGCTTCTTACATCTCCAATTTCTGACATTTTAACCACATCCTACAGCCATCACAGTAAGGGATGTTTCTCTGAGTATGTATATCCTTATTGATCCTCATTTCTTAATCTGTAAATTCTTTTTCTTACCAAACACCTTTAAATTATTCTCCATGTTTGCCACTTCCTTTGGGGAAAAAAGTTTGCAAATACCTTGTGTTAAATGGACAATGATCAGTTTTTTTTCCCCCGAAGAAACAAACTTTTTCTTTGTTTATTTTTATCTCTCTGGTTGAAATGAAAATAGACTCAATTTCACTTTTGTTTCTGGACATTTTCATTTTCTGGTTCCCATGCATTAGCATGATGCTGTTATAGTTGGGTTGCAAACACTTTAGGAGAGTGGTTTTGAAGTCATAATTAAAATAATACTAATGGAAACATTTCTGAGAGTTTCAGGTTTTGTGAATGCTTCTTTTAACCAAACCTAAATCTTGGGTTAAATTTGACCTGACTGTGTCCCTTTACTTATTAGGAAAATTACCAAATTGTCAGTCATGATAAATGCACCAGGTTTTTTACAGGTGGCATATTCCTGTTCTGAAAATAGTGGGTAGTACAGATGTATGCCAGTCTCCTATCTTCAGCCTTTGAAAAGTACGGATACATGAACGGATTAAAAAAACTGGTGAATTATGCCATCTAGTGTTTAATTGAATGTATTGCTATCTGCATGAAAATAAACCAAAACAATGAGGAGTCTGGTGGCACCTTAAAGACTAACAGATTTATTTGGGCATGAGCTTTCCTGGGTAAAAACTATTTCTTCAGATGCATGGAGTGAAAATTACAGATATAGGCATAAATATATAATTGGCACATGAAGAGAAGGGAGTTACCTTACAAGTGGAGAACCAATGTTGAAGGCCCATTTAGTCAGGGTGGATATGGTCCACTCCCAATAATTGATGAGGAAGTGTCAATGCCCCTCTGCCATGTACATTGGCCAAACCTGACAGTCTCTACTTAAGAGGATAAATGGACACAAATCAGACATCAGGAATGGTAACATATAAAAGCCAGTAGGAGAACATTTCAGTCTCCCTGGACGTTCAGTAACACATTTAAAAGTAGCCATTCTTCAACAAAAAAAACTTCAGAAACAGACTTCAAAGAGAAACTGCAGAGCTACAATTCATTTGCAAACTTAACACCATCAGTTTGGGTTTGAATAGGGACTGGGAGTGGCTGGCTCACTACAAAAGCAATTTTCCCTCTCTTGATATTGACACCTCCTCATCAGTTATTGGGAGTGGACCACATCCACCTGGACTAAATTGGTGAGGACTCCCCACAGCGTGCTTTCCCCGCAGCAGCACCTGGGATGAGGGGGAGAGGCGCCTCTCCCTGCCGCGGCAGCTCTGGGGCTGGGGGCCGTAGGCGCCACTCTCCCAGCCTCTGCAGGTCCGGCCAGGGCTAGGTTCAGGGAGGAACACCCCGGTCGTGACAGGTCCAGGCCGGGGCTGGGTTCGGAGAGGGGTGCCCCCTGACAGGGCCAGGGGGCAGATCCGGGCTGCTGCATAGCTGGGGCCGCCCCGGCCATGGTAGGTTGGGGGCGGGGAAGGGGTGCCCCTCCCCCGGCTGCGGCAGGTCCCTGGGCAGGTTCCCTGCGCGCTTGCGCAGTGCTAAATAGGCTGCTGTGCAGCTGCGCAGCTTACAGGGAACTTAGGCCTTGACATAAATCTTGGACATGCCAGTAACAATTTTAATTATTTTTTGGAAGGTCGTTTTATTGTTCCAACATAATGAGTCTCCACAGCACTGGGTAGTGGAGGAGATGTGTCTCTTTATCTTTGTGTTGCAATCCAATATTTGGGAACTAAGTATTACTTTAAAGTATTATGATTTTGTCCCCTTTGCTTTCCAGCTGTCTTTCTTCAGCAGTGCCATTTTCTTAGACAGGCGGGCCATTCTGAGAAAGCTGTGTCTTTGTTCCAAGCCCTGGTTGATTTCACCTTCTTTAAACCTGACAGCGTAAAAGATCTGCCAACAAGAGGACAGGTAGCATTGTCTATTTAGAACTGTTTTTCACTCTGTCTCATTGCATGATCTGTTTACGTTGGAACTTCGCACTGACAGAAAAATATTAGTTGATTTAAAGATGTTAGTTAAAATTAAAAATTGATTCACTATTTGGCACTTCTTCAGGGTGGTCCGTGCATTCTCCCCTGGTTGGGAAAGGCAGCCATAGTGCTGTGAGCTTCTGGAACCTTCTGAAACGCATACCCAACAGGGAATGTGCACTCTTATGGCAATGAATATTGGTACTGCGGGTTATATAAAGAAGGTGCAGCCCCCTCCCGTCACCTCATCTCTTCCTTTTGCCCAATCGCAAGTGGAAGAACTTTAACTGAGTGCCCAATGTCTGGTTTGCCCAACTTATAGTGAACACTTTCCTTATCTCTTTTCTATCTTTCGTGTAAATAGGATTGTGTAGTGTAAATATTATTATGTACTTTTATTATTCTAGGGAGAGCGGGTAGTGACCCTATTATTTAGATTACTTAACAATTTCCATTCTAAAAGATTCTTGAAAGCTTTTCTTTGAGATGCTCTCACATTTCCATTGTTTGCAGCAGGCCTTTGACATTCAGGAGGAGGAATGTCCTCAGGCCATAGAATCCACACCTTTGAATAACAGTTATATAGGCCTAACTGCCAGTGGAGACAGCGCTATGTCCATGGGAGGGCTTCTCCCGTCAACATAGATACTGCCTCTCAGGCAGGCGGAGTACCTTCGCTGATGGGAGAAGCCCTCCTGTCGGCGTAGGTAGCATCTTCACTGAAGCACTATAGCGGTGCATCTGCATTTGTGTAGTAGCACCACTGCAGCCTTTTAAGGCCATGTCTACACTAGCAAGCTTACGGCGGCACAGCTATACCACTGCATCTGTGCCACTGTAAGATCGCTTGTGTAGCTGCTCTATGCCAACAGGAGAGAGCTCTCCTGTCTATATAATAAAACCACTTCCACAAGTGGTGGTAGCTGTGTCAGCAGGAGCAGCTGTCCTGCCAACATAGTGGTGTGCACACTACTATTTATGCCGGTGAAACTTATGACGCTCAAGGAATTCGGAAATGCCTGAAAACGTGCATGACACGATCGCCGAGTCTGACAGTTGGGGTCACAGGGAGCGTAAAACCACCTCTTGGAGTCATTTTCCACCCACTTCTAATGGATTTTGGGTGCTCCACGACCCTTCTTTCTCTTTCTCTTAAATTAACACAGTCCTAGCCTATAAAATTAGCTCTCTCCATCCTTTACGACTTCTGTGGTAAGTATCAGTGATGATCTTGCTGTGTCAGGAGGCGGTGGTGTGAAGGTAGAAGAATCTTCATCAGATATACAGATTGCTGTGTTAGCATCCATGGCACAAATGACCATATTGACTCTTCTGCTTTATTTCCACCAAAGATTACAAACTGTTCTGAGAGTTCCTAGAAACTATATTACAGTTGAACTTATCATAGTGCAGGAAAATAATCAGTGTGACATCCTCTAGAGTTTTTTGATTTATGAAGACCGTTGTAAGAGGAATGTCACTTCCTCTGTATCTATCCAAATGGATAAAATCATTTTTGCAAGTTCATCTAGGCCATAGAGCTCATTCCACCAGAGCAAAAACTAAATCCATGGTTTGTCTCAAATGTTTCTTTACTTGAGCTCTATAGAGCAGCTATGTGGTGTTCCATTCACAAAATACTACTCTTTTGATTTATGTATTGCACAGCTTGTTAATTTCCCAAGACTATGTAGAGGCAACCTGAAAGAAGGAAAAGAGTTTACTTTCTAGTTTTTATAGTTCTTTGAGTGTTACATCTGAATATTTACATTCCCTTCTCGCCTTCCCATTGGAATTCTCTGTATGTCTTTGAAAGCTGATGTTCAGGTGAAGGAAAGGAAGGGGTCGGGGACTGCACCTCCTTATATAATCTCAGGCATCAAATGTTTGGTGCAATGAAAGGGCGCTTGTGCATTTCTCCATGGGTATAGCTTTGCTTTTTCTCAAGAATATGGATATGCAAAGATAGTTTTCCAAGACCTACATTTACTAATAAGTAATCTCTGTTTTCTTCCCACATCACTGTGTTACACCTCCTGATTGTTACTAGTAAATCTAATTTCTGAATGTGGGTTTGGTGTATTTTAATTTCAAGTATATGTCAGGGTGGAACTCACTGGAAGTGTGTGCATGTGCCTCATGTAGACTAGATTGCCACTCAAATTGTTCAATGTCCACTGGGGTAATGCATGCGCTCTATGCCAACCACGAGTGATGACTACAGAACTCTATCATAGACACCATATTTCACGAATGGGGGGACCCTGAAATAGTCTTGTTTGCCACAGAGGGACATAATCAGATGCTAGAAATTCTACTCCAGAGGAGGTGTAAGCTCAGGTTTGTTGCCTGAAGCCTTTCTTCTTCAGTGGTCTTGAAGACTTCATTCTGTCTTCCTACTGATTTCTCTTGATACTCAGGGTAGTGTCCAAGATCGGGAGGGAAAAGGCTAAGGTTATTCTGATAGCCTCTTGCTGGACAAGAGGGTTTTGGCTATTGGACCTGCTGTAAATGTTTCATGTGATCTCCCATTCATGCAAACATCATATCTCAGAACTAGCGTCAGATCTTGTACCCAGACTTGCAGATGTTTCACCTGACAGCTTGGATGTTGGTTGGTTGAGCACTACTGACAGAGATTGTTCCCTTCAGGTTAAACAAACTCTTATACAAAGTAGGAAGTCCTCCACCAGAAAATGGAAAAATTATCCTAAAAGTGGAAAAGATTTTGTATATGGGCAGCCAAAAAATTTGGGCCCAGTAAAGGCACCAGTACCAAAGATCTTAGATTATATACTACTCCTGGAACAGGTGGGTCCACGTACCAGCAATATCTGCATGTTGCACACCACTACAGTCACACTCAATCTTGTCACACCAAATGATATTGAAGTTTCTCAAGAATTTCCTTCACACTTATCCTCCAGTTAGAGACCTGAAACCCTTGTGGGACTTCAGTGTCATCCTCGTTAAGCTCATGGAGCCCCCTTTTGTACTACTGTCAAAATGTTCCACAACTTACCATCAAGACCCTTTCCTTCTGGTGGCCATCACCTGAGCTCAGAGAGCTCTGAACTCTTATGGATGGATCACCTTACACTTCCTTTATTAAAGACAAGGTGGTGGTGAGACCAAACCTCAAGTTCATCCCTAAGATTTTCTCAGACTTCAAACCTGAACCAGTAAATTACCAATTTTTTCCCTAAATCTGCTCCCGATGCCAGGAGAGAAGAAACTGTATACCTTGGATGTATCCAGAGTTTTACTGTAGTACTTTAATAGGATCAAGCCATTTTAGCTGTCTTCCTGCCTCTTTGTGGCTATTTGTGGCTCATCCAAAGGCCAAGCCATCTCATCACAAGTGCATTGTGTAATGCATTTTTCACTTGCTATCAGCTGGCTGGTGAGGGTTCCCCTTTGAACATTAAGGCACACTAAACCAGAGCCCAGACTATATCTATCACCTGCTTCAGAAACATTCTGAGATTTGTGAGACTACAACCTGGAGTAACCCACTAATTTTCATGAATCACTGTGCCCTTGACATGGGAGAGCAGTACTCCAGTCACAGTTTGATTCAGCCACTAGTCCACGCTCTCGCCATCCACGGAGGGTGCTGCTTGTCAGTTATTTACAGTTTGGGCCACACTGCCATTTGCTTGAAGAAGGAGGAGGAGAATGGTTACTTATCCTGCAGTAAATCTGTGCTGCTTTGAGATGATGTTGTTAGTGTGGGTCCTACAACCCACTCTGCATCCCTGCTTTTTGGAGTCCCCAGCTACCATGGGCTTCAACTTCTGAGGGAACTTAGAGTGAGTTGTTGCCATCTCACCCTTCATGGCCTCATATGGGAGCATGAGGAAGCATAGGGCACATGTGCAGCCACGATGGACATGGCTACTGAAATTTCTAGTCTCATGCACATGAGGCACACATACACCTACAGTGAGATCTACATTGACTACATCATCTCTAAGAACCACAGTTACTGTAGGGTAAGTAATGATTTTTGACAGAGGTAAAGATCTCAAGGGATACAAATGTGCATATATGTTAAGTGGAGGATGAGGAAAAAGATAAGCACAAAAATCAAATAAAACTTAGGGCAAAGATGTTCTTTTTATGCACATTAGGACTGATTTATTCCTTATAGTTGGAATTTTTATAGGGCTAAATTTAAAATATATTGGTAGTGACTGAATTTTTCTTCAAGTATGGCAATGAAACAGAGGCTTAAAAAGGAAATGTCACAAGGATACGTATTTTTTGCTGTTCTTGTGCCTACCATTCCCTTGTTGCCTTTTTCACTAAAGGCTAGATTCTAATTGGATATTCAGCACGTATTGCCACATAACTTAAAACAAAAATCTATGATTGAGCTCCTATATCTGTGCAGCGGCAGAATCTTTGAAAGAGTCCCAGGTGTGACTTTACATTGATATTAGAATCTGGCCATAAACGTAATGGGGTGCACTCACCTCTTGCAAGTGCCCCCTGTCTCAGTGCATGTGCCTGGACACACACTCTCAGTTTATGGTGGGTCTTTGGTGACTCAGCCCTCCGGCCAAGTCACAGTCTGTATGTGAGATAAAAATCAAACCCCTTCAGGGATACAAGTCCAATGGGGGCTTATTGCAGCGCCCTCTGTAAGGTCCCTTTATCTGCAGCCCTAGGTCCTATTGCAGCATCCTGGTTTGAAATGTGTCTCATCCCCTTCTGGGCTCCTTTGAATTGTCCCTGCTCTTCAAGCAGTCCTGGCCCTGATGTGGGGCCACATCCCCCAGGGCTCCCTTCCTGGAGAGTCTTTGCCTCTCTAGGCCTTTCTGGCCCCAGCTCTTAGCTGGCCCACTAAGAGAGTTCTGTTCCCTTTCTGGGATGTATCAAAGTCCAGACCACTTTCCCAGTGGCTGGTAAAGGGCACCCGGGCCTGCCCTCAACTCCGCGTCCCAGCCCAGGGACCCTAAAGATAGCAACCATCTGCCAGCTACAGTTCCCTGGGCCACTTCCCTGTGGCTCCAGCACATTCTTCACATTTACCTCAGGGCCTTGTCCTGGTTGAGTGCTAGCAGCCCAGAACTCCTTGTGTTCCCCCTGGCCTCTGCCAGCACTGCTCTGTCTGGGTCCTGTAGCTCCCTCAGCCAGCCAGGCACACTATCCACACTCCACCAGCTCCACCAAGGAACTGATCTCACTCTGGCCCTGCAGCTCCTCTTAGACTAGCCTACTGGGTCCTCATTGGCTGCTTCCCACACAGCCACTCTAGGCTGCTTGGAGGACCTCTCTACTGCCCTTTTCTGGGGCAGGGTGTAGCGGGCTGCAAGGCCTCCAGCAGGGGGCCTCTGGACCTAGTCCACCCTGTCACAGTAAAACTTTCTCATCTCTGCTCACTTTTTCTTGTTTAACAAATGTATTGGCAGGTTGTATCAAGAACGTGCACAAACTATTACAAATTGTATATCTATTTTAAGAAGAAGCACTCTCTCACAAAGTTAGTATATGCACTGTTAGGAGCTGTATAGAAATAGATTCACTGCCACCGAAAGGAAATCATGTTTTTGGGAGGTTCACAAAAAAGAAATCACTTTTGGTTCTATTTTAATAATTAATTAATTAATAATTAATTTAAAAAAAACCTCAGCAAGAGGCAGTTTTCCCAGGTGAAAAATTTTATTGCTCTTTTGCAATTTTCACATTGAAAAGCTATTTGGTTTGGGTGATGAAATTTCACTCCAGAGTTTCCTCCATCTCTATTACCTAAATCATTTATGGCTTTCTGTGCCATGTAGTAAAGAAAAGCAACATCTATTGAGTTGTGAAATCATAAACTTAATTATTTTAAATTTATAAAATGCAGGCAGTTACACATCTCTGTATATAATACAAAAATACACAATGAAGACCTAAAACAAAACAAACTAACAACTTGCATAGAACACTGTATATTCACATCCTGCTGTCAGACAAAAATCTGGGAAAGGATAGACTCTGCCTCATTTCTAAAGTTGTGTTGGTACCGGGCATCTTTTTTTTTTTTAAGTTCCCACCTTTGCTAACACCAATTTAGCTCATATGGTGTTAGCACCTTAGGAGCCCTGGTTTAGGCAGACTGCCACTCATGTTTTAAGCACTGTCCTTTAATCCTGTCAGCTGACATGGTTTATTAAAACACCAACGGCTCATCTGTACTTGGATTTGCATCTTTACAGTAGTCTGTTAGCAATGGTGGGAATTTCTTGTAAAATTTTTCCTAGTGTACATTAAGGTCTGACTGTCAATTCTAATACCTTGTTCAATTTCTTCTTCATCTTACCACGTCATATATTGTAGAACATAATCAGGCTTGTGATCTGCTATTTATATTTTTATATATTTATTTATAATGTATAAATATGTATATTTTTATATATTTCTGCTTTAAGTATAGCTACATGGTGTTCTGGTGCCCATAACTATTTTTGTACTTATTGATTTGGTACCACAATAAGAACGTTGAGTTGTGATGCAGAATTATATGAAATTAGATGCACTATTTCTGATCAGTTTTCAGCATCCCATTCAACAATGTACTGAAATAGCTCAGTGACCCATTTAGTATTTATTTCTAGAGTAGTTATCCCCACACAAACGTCTCACAGGTGCTTGTATGGCCAGAGGTGGATGATGAGTAGCTACTGTCCTGCTTCCACTATTGACGTGATTTCTAGGAGCCTCATTGCCCATGTTGTATGCAGCAGCGAGCCTGCTCATCCATGTAAAAAGTATTTCTTTAAAACTTTTTTTAAAACTTACCTATATGTCTGTGTTACTTTCTTTCTACTGTGTGCTAATTTAGTTATTCCTTTTTTTATTAGTGATAGCTTGACAGGATGGGACTGCTAAGTCATTTTTAAATGTGGCTACAATGTTGAAAATGATATGTAGTATGTTTCTTGCCACAACAATAGGTGGAGTTCTTTGAACCATTTTGGGATAGTGGAGAGCCTCGGTTTGGAGAAAAAGGAGCAAAAGGCTGGAAATCATGGATGCATCAGCAAGAAAAGGGAGGCTGGATTATCATCAATAAACCTGGTAAAACTGTACCCTTTCATACATTTGTTTTTGACAAGCTTTTTCTTTGCTTTCTCCTATTTATTAACTCATAAAGGCTTCTGGTTTTACTCCTAGCCTGAGATCACTGAGAGTTACCATAACGATCTATATGTCAAAAATTAATTAAGCCACATGGGCTGAGGGAAATATACTGTAGTTTTCTTCATGTGCCTTTGCATGTTACAGGCTATTCCCAGACAAAAAGCTTCACTAAGATAGAGGTAAAGTTGAAAATATATTGCCCTTTAAAAAAAATAGAGATTTATTTTAAATTAGAACAACCTAAAACTAGAAACTCCAGTTTATATTCCATTTCCAACCTCCATGTCATTCCTGCATCCTAATACACTTTCCATGATCTACCTATAAGTTGGAGAGCCTTACCAGTTACTGCACTCAAATTAAGTCTACTTTGGTGCACATATGAACTCCAACAATTTGCTCTTCAGTCTTATATTATGTGTAAGGTTAAGATTTTGTCAGTTTTTTTTAGTAAAAGTCAGACAGGTTGCAGGCAATAAACAAAAATTCACAGGAGCTGTGACCTGTGCAAGACTCTTACTAAAAATAATGGGGTGGGGCGAGGGCTGCAATGGGAAGGGGAAGGAATGACAGCTGGAGCCCAGGCCGAAGCCATGGGGCAGAAGCATACAGAAACAGCTCCAGCCCCAGCCCCGACAGAGCTGGGACTGAGGGTCAGCGGTACACAGCCCTGGCTCCCGCGCTGATGGGAAGCTGTGGGGCGCACAGCCCCAGCCGCAGCTGCGTGGGTGGGGGCACAGCCAAGGCTCCTGTTGTAGCTGCGAGGCGCGTGTGAAGCCCTGACTCTGGCTGAAGCCACGGGTCTGGGGGGTGCACAACCCCAGCTTCTGCTGCAGTTGTGAGGGTGGAGCACCGCCTCAGTTCTAGCAAAGCTGTGGGTCAGGGTTGTACGTCCCCGGCTCCAGCCGGAGTTGCCCGTCGGGGGTGCACAGACCCAGCTCCATCCCCGCTGCTGCCAGCTGAAGCAAAGCCATTGAGGTCCAGTAAAATCACAGAATCCATGACTTCCCTAACCTCTGTGACTAAATCATATCCTTAAATATGTGTAACATAACCTGCATTGCCCATCCCAGTCAGTATCGGGTATAGGGGTCTCATTCAGATATGAAGACAGTGGCAAGGTTTATCCTTAGAATTTGAGCATGTGGATTTGGTGCCTGGTAGTGTTTGATATTTGAAAAATGGTTCTTTGGTGTTCATTTTAACTATGTTGTAAATCCCACTATTTCTTGACCATTTTTATATGTTTATTTGATATGGCAGGCCTAGCCCAGAGGCAAGGAAGTCAGACGTGCAATGTCCCTCCTGCCTTGAATTAGAAACCATCTCCTTGTCTTGGGCTGTGATGATTCATTGCTGTAGTAGCTGCCACCTCCATTTCATAGAATCATAAAATATCAGGGTTGGAAGGGACCTCAGGAGGTCATCTAGTCCAACCCCTGCTCAAAGCAGGACCAATCCCCAGCTAAATCATCCCAGCCAGGGCTTTGTCAAGCCTGACCTTAAAAACCTCTAAGGAAGGAGATTCCACCACCTCCTTAGGTAACCCATTCTAGTACTTCACCATCCTCCTAGTGAAAAAGTTTTTCCTAATATCCAACCTAAACCTCCCCCACTGCAACTTGAGACCATTACTCCTTGTTTTGTCTTCTGGTACCACTGAGAACAGTCTAGATATATCCTCTTTGGAACCCCCTTTCAGGTAGTTGAAAGCAGCTATCAAATCCCCCCTCAGTCTTCTCTTCTGCAGAAGAAACAATCCCAGTTCCCTCAGCCTCTCCTCGTAAGTCGTGTGCTCCAGCCCCCTAAACATTTTTGTTGCCCTCCGCTGGACTCTCTCCAATTTTTCCACGTCCTTCTTGTAGTGTGGGGCCCAAAACTGGATACAGTACTCCAGATGAGGCCTCGCCAATGTCGAATAAAGGGGAATGATCACGTCCCTCGATCTGCTGGCAATGCCCCAATTTATACAGCCCAAAATGCCGTTAGCTTTCTTGGCAACAAGGGTACGCTGTTGACTCAGATCCAGTTTCTTGTCCACTGTAACCTGTAGGTCCTTTTCTGCGGAACTGCTGCCTAGCCATTCGGTCCCTAGGCTGTAGCAGTGCATGGGATTCTTCCGTCCTAAGTGCAGGACTATGCACTTGTTCTTGTTGAACCTCATCAGATTTCTTTTGACCCAGTCCTCTAATTTGTCTGGGTCCCTTTGTATCCTATCCCTACCCTCCAGCATATCTACCACTCCTCCCAGTTTAGTGTTATCTACAAACTTGCTGAGGATGCAGTCCACGCCATCCTCCAGATCATTAATGATGGTATTGAGCAAAACCAGCCCCAGGATCGACCCCTTGGGGCACTCCACAGGATACCGGCTGCCAACTAGACATGGAGCCGTGATCACTACCCGTTGAGCCCGATGATCTAGCCGGCTTTCTGTCTACCTTAAAGTCCATTCATCCAGCCCATACTTCTTTAACTTGCTGGCAAGAATACTGTAGGAGACCGTATCAAAAGCTTTGCTAAAGTCAAGGAATATCACATCCACTGCTTTCCCCTCGTCCACAGAGCCAGTTATTTCGTCATAGAAGGCAATTAGGTTAGTCAGGCATGACTTGCCCTTGGTGAATCCATGCTGACTGTTCCTGATCACTTTCCTCTCCTATAAGTGCTTCAGAATTGATTCCTTGAGGACCTGCTCCATGATTTTTCCAGGGACTGAGGTGAGGCTGACTGGCCTGTAGTTCCCCGGATACTCCTCCTTCCCTTTTTTAAAGATGGGCACTACATTAGCCTTTTTCCAGTCATCTGGGACCTCCCCCGATCGCCATGATTTTTCAAAGATTATGGCCAATGGCTCTGCAATCACATCCGCCAACTCCTTTAGCACCCTTGGATGCAGGCCCCATGGACTTGTGCATGTCCAGCTTTTCTAAATAGTCCTGAACCACCTCTTTCTCCACAGAGGGCTGGTCACCTCCTCCCCATGCTGTGCTGCCCAGTGCAGTAGTCTGGGAGCTGACCTTGTTCGTGAAGACAGAGGCAAAAAAAGCAATGAGTACATAGCTTTTTCCACATCCTCTCACTGGGTTGCCTCCCTCATTCAGTAAGGGGCCCACACTTTCCTTGACTTTCTTCTTGTTGCTAACATACCTGAAGAAACCCTTCTTGTTACTCTTAACATCCCTTGCTAGCTGCAACTCCAAGTGTGATTTGGCCTTCCTGATTTCACTCCTGCATGCCTGAGCAATATTTTTGTACTCCTCCCTGGTCATTTGTCCAGTCTTCCACTTCTTGTAAACTTCTTTTCTGTGTTTAAGATCAGCAAGTATTTCACTGTTTAGCCAAGCTGGTCACCTGCCATATTTACTATTCTTTCTACACATCGGGATGGTTTGTTCCTGCAACCTCAATAAGGATTCTTTAAAATAGAGCCCGCTCTCCTGGACTCCTTTCCCCCTCATGACTAACAGAAGTATTGGGAGCATAAGCTTTCGTGGGTAAGAACCTCACTTCTTCAGATGCAAGTAATGGCAATTTCCAGATGCAGGGATAAATCAGTCTGGGGAGAACAGGGGTAC